ACATTTTACATTTCACAACAGTGACAATGTGTAAACATGTTGTACAAAAGCTGCAGAGACATTCAAGTTAAATAATTTATTGTACAAAAAATGATCAACTATCTTATAAAAAAAAGTAGTGATTTTCTATTTAACCCAACATGTTTCTGTCTGGAATGAAGCAGCTCTCAGTTCATGTGTGCRAAGGAGGGTTTTAAAAAAGGCCGCTGGTTGCCCTGAGGTGTGGGAACAGAAAGGAATCCTGGTCTCCTGCCTCCCGCTGCGTTTCCTGCTGAGCTCCTGGACCCTCGACCAGCGCTCTGAGACCCACCTCTGAAGCTGGATGACCCTGATGACTTGTTGCTGCTGTAGCCCCGACTACATCCACGACAAAAGGGCGAATAGAAAAAATAAATAAATAAAAAAAGATCAGTTTAGTTGTCATCAAACTCACTATGTTCTCATAAAAAGACACACTGTACACACCCTTTAGAATTGGAGTTTGTGTTGCTGTATCCTTTTTTCTTCTTAGAAAACTTGAAGAAAGGAGCTTTCTTTCTCTTCTGTCCTCTACCAGCTTGATTACTAAAATAAGTAGAGGACTCTGAATCATCGTCGTCGTGCGTGCCGCTTCGTGTCATGTCTATCCACCCGTCTGCAGCAGGTTCAGTCTGCTCTTCTGCTTCAAAGATAATACAACTTTGAAATGTAAAAAGGTCCGACAGGAAAAACAAACACGTAACACACTGAAGGTGCCGCTCACCAGGTAGCTGCCACTCCGAGTATTTCTGCAGCACCTGAATGACTTCGGCTCCATACTTCTCCAGTTTGTCCTCAGTCACACCATCAATCTGTAGAAGGACTTCAGGGTCAGAAGAAAGCCGCTCTGTTTGTAGAGAAAAACAAAAAATTGTATGAAACCGCTGGTTGGCAATACAGTCAGCGATCCAAGACAAACAACCTGAAGCAGATTCAGAATTTACCAGAAATCTTCTTCAAGGCGGCGGTGGAGAAGATGTTGTAATAGTGAAGGCCGAACGCTTTGCCGAGCTGCTTGCACAGATCGATCAGCTCCTTCAGACACTCCTGAACCATCTCCTCCCTCTTGGAGAYGTTCTTGGTAACAGAAGCTTTGTGTTTCCTGATGCTGGACGCACTCTCAGTCTCATAGAACTCCACCTGGAGGTCACAAAGATTGACCTTTTTTTCTTTTCTACGTAAAGCTGTATGAACGTAATCACTGCAGATGTAGCATTAATAGAGAAAAGGAATGTCACACCCAAAGATTAGTGATAGAAGAAAACCACACTGTCACAACCAACATATTATTTCTGTTAAAACAGAAGTAATAAGAAGCAGGTTTATTTTTGAATAAACCTAATAAATGTGTTCATTCCTACAAAACTATCAAATATATTTACAAAATACACTAAACTGATTCAGATTAGCATAAAATAAATCATGTTTTATAATTAGATGTCTGTGTCAACCCCCCCACCACAAAAAAAAAAAAAAAAAAAAAAAAAAAAAAAAAAAAAAAAAA